CGGGGTGGGGGGGGGGTCTGGGGCAGGGCCAGGGGGGTGGGCGGGGGGGGGGGAGTTGGCCTCACCCCTGCTTCTCACGGGGGGGGGGCCAGCTCGCCCCCGTTCTGTCGTGGTGGGGGGGGGGCTCTCTCTCTCTTCTATAACAACGGGGGGGGGGGGGGCGGCTGCCATGAAATGGGTGCCACAGGCCCCACGTGTGAACCCTTCGGGGGCCAGTGTCCCGGGGGGGGGGACGTCATCGGCCGTGAGTGCTCCCGCTGTGCCACTGGCTACTGGGGCTTCCCCAGCTGCAGGGGGGGGGGGGTGAGCCCATGGGAGTGCCAGCCGGGGGGGGGGGGGGGATCCCCAGGGGGCTTTGGCAGGAAGGGGGGGGGGGGCGGCCAGGAGGAAGTTCCAGGGCTTGGGGGGGGGGCCCTGCTGGCCCCTGTCTGCAGGCCCGGGGGGGGGGGGTGGGCCGGGCTTTGCAGGGCGTCACACGCCAGGGACCGGACGGCATTTCTGGGCACCTGAGGGGGGGGGGGAGGAGCTGCCTGAGGCTTGGGGCCTGGGGGGGGGGGAAACCACGCCAGGGTGGGGGTGGGGGGGGGGGGGGTGGGCTGCAGCCAGGGCCTCCGATGGGGCACGGGGCTTCATCCCCCTCCGTGCACGCTCCCCGGGGGGGGGGAGTGCCGAGGCCGTCTGTGTGACGAGGGGGGGGGGGGGTGTGTCTGCCCGCCACGCACCGTCGGGGGGGGGGGCGTGGTCTGCCAGCCCCAGAGCTTTGGGGGGGGGGCCCTGGTGGGCTGTGAGGAGTGTAACGGGGGGGGGGCCGGTGTCCAGGAGCTCACCGACCCCGGGGGGGGGGCGGACAGTGGCCAGTGCAAGTGAGCTGGGGGGGGGGGCTGTCCCCGTGGCCCTGGGCTGGCTGGGGGGGGGGCGGCATGGCCACCAAGAGCGCTCTGTGGGGGGGGGGGGGTGGGGGCTGGGTGAGGGGTATGCGGGGGGGGGGCACCGCCTCAGGGGGGCCCTGCAGTCGGGGGGGGGGTTGAGGGGCTGGGGTGGAGGGGAGGCGGGGGGGGGGCTGACCTCCCCCCGGCAGGTGCAGAGGGGGGGGGGGCGGGCGCCGCTGTGACGCCTGCGCCCGGGGGGGGGGTGGTTACCCCAGCTGCCGCCCCTGCGGGGGGGGGGGGGCGGGCTCCATGCCCAGCATATGTGGGGGGGGGGGAGGCCAGTGCCACTGCAAGGTGAGAAGGGGGGGGGGCCCCCACCTCCACGCCGCCTCAGCTGGGGGGGGGGGCTGGGGACCCTTGGGGCCTCCTGGACGGGGGGGGGGGAGTCAGCCCATGGGGAGGGGGTGACGGGGGGGGGGGGTGGGTCGGGCTCTGCAGCGCACGGGGGGGGGGGGTGTCCTACCCTCCCGCCCCCAGGAGAGGGGGGGGGGCCCTCGGTGTGACCAGTGCCGCCTTGGGGGGGGGGGCCTTGAAGCCGCCAACCCAAAGGGCTGGGGGGGGGGCTTCTGCTTCGGGGCCACCGAGCGCTGGGGGGGGGGGGCCCACGCCCGCCGTGAGGTGTGCGGGGGGGGGGGCCCAGACCGAGGGTGGCGCCCCCTCAGGGAGGGGGCACATTACCCCCAGTCAGCGTGCCCTGGGGGGGGGGGTCGGTGCCCCTCCCATGTGCCTGCAGGGGGGGGGGGTGGAGGGCTGGACGCTGCTGAGCAGTGGGGGGGGGGTGGTTCCTCACGAGCTGCGAGCAGAGGGGGGGGGGGTCTACGCGGACCTGCGGCATGGCTTCGGGGGGGGGGCTGAGCTATACTGGCAGGCCCCACCCGGGGGGGGGGGGGACAGGGTGAGCTGGCCAGGCGGGCCCTGCGGTGGGCACTGTGAAGGTGTCCAGGACCCCGGGGGGGGGGAGGGAAGACAGCAGTGAGGCTGCCCAGGGGGGGGGGGGGATGGGGACTCTGTGAGGGTGCCCGGGGGGGGGGCGGCCCTCAGCCCAGGGATGCCCAAGGGGGGGGGGGTCGACTCTGGGCCCATGGTCAGGGTCGGGGGGGGGGACGACCTTCTGCCCTGCCACCAGGTGGGGGGGGGGGGTGGGACCCTCCGCTACGAACTTCATGGGGGGGGGGAGCGTGGAGACGTGTTCATCCCCACAGGGGGGGGGGCGGACGTGGTGCTGCAGGTGGCTGACGGGGGGGGGGTGGTTGGGTGGGCAGGTGGGCGCAGCGGGGGGGGGGGGCGGGCAGCCTGGCTGCCAGCCCTCGGGGGGGGGGGCACCTCCCCAGGGCAACCAGATGAGGGGGGGGGGGCTGGAGCCAATGTACCCAGCGCCCGGGGGGGGGGGGCATGGACGACTGCAGCTGGTGGAGGTGGGGGGGGGGGGCCTGGGCACCCGGGTCCCTCTGGGGGGGGGGGGGAGCCCAGGGAGGCCAAAGGGGCCGAAGGGGGGGGGGCCTGCCCTCTAGGATGGAACACGGGGGGGGGGGGGGCTCCTGGCCGCGTGCTGGCCCGTGGAGGGGGGGGGGCGGACGCGTGAGCAGCTGCTTGGGTGGGGGGGGGGGTGCAGTTCCCTCCATGAGCTGTGTTTGGGGGGGGGGGCTTTCCACTCGCTTGTGGGCTTTCCGGGGGGGGGGAAAGAAGTTGTGTGTAGTTCCTGCCGGGGGGGGGGGTCCGCCTTGGGAGCTGCGGTTCGGTCGGGGGGGGGGGTGTCTTTTGATGAACAGAAATTCAGGGGGGGGGGGAAATTTATCAATTTTTCACCTGCAGTGGGGGGGGGGGTTTTATTGAAAAAAGTATTTGTCTCGGGGGGGGGGGAAAGTACGCACCTGTGCTTAGTTCCGGGGGGGGGGAGCATCTTCTTTGAGTGTTTGAATTCGGGGGGGGGGTGGAGTTGTTGGTTTTGTGCCGGGTGGGGGGGGGGGGCCCAGGCACGGGACTCCCCGCGGGTGGGGGGGGGGTCTAGCCCCCGAGGCACCCCGCTGCCGGGGGGGGGGCCGCCGCGGCCCGCAGGGGACCTTCCGGCACACAGAGACACACAACGCCGTGTCCCGCGAGGGGGGGGGGGGGGTGCTGGCGAGTCTGGAGCGGCTGCGGGGGGGGGGCCTGTTCTCCCAGACCTCCTCGGCCGGGGGGGGGGGCAGCGTGGTGCTGGAGGTGGCCGGCGGGGGGGGGGGGGGGCCTCCGGCCAGCAACGTGGAGCGGGGGGGGGGCCCGGCCAACTACCGTGGAGATTCGTGGGGGGGGGGGTGGTGGGGGCGGGCACCCCCCGCTCGGGGGGGGGGGTTCCTCCCTCACCCGCTGGGTACCGGGGGGGGGGGAGCCCTGCCTTCCCGCCACAGGCCGGGGGGGGGGGGTGGCTTATCTCTCTGCCCCTGCACTGTCACCTGTGTCCCTGCTTGGCCCCCCGTGCACCCAGGGGGGGGGGGTTCCTTCACCAGCCGGTCCAGCCAGGGGGGGGGGGGCTGCCCACACCTTGTCTTCCCTCTGGGGGGGGGGGGTGTGCACTTGCTTGTTCATCTGAGGAGGGGGGGGGGTGAACACCCACCCACTCAGAAGAGGTGGGGGGGGGGCAAAGAGGCGACCCTGGCCCACATGTGGGGGGGGGGTGTCACCTGAGCCAGGGCATCTGCATGGGGGGGGGGGCTCTGACTTCAGGTGTCTAGCCGATGGGGGGGGGGACCTCTGAGGGTCTGAGAGCATGGTCGGGGGGGGGGCCCTCGGGCTGGCCCTGCTTCCTTCCGGGGGGGGGGTGCCTCTGCCCCAGGAATGTGCCCCTGGGGGGGGGGGGGACATCAAAGGTCTCTTCTTGGGTCGCTGTGTCCCCTGTCAGTGCCATGGCCACTCAGACGGGGGGGGGGCTGGCTCGGGCATCTGCATGGTGAGCGGGGGGGGGGCCCCAGACACAGACTAGGGAAGACCAGGGGGGGGGGGGTCAGTAGTACAGATACGCTGGGGTGGGGGGGGGGAGGTTGGTGTCCTGGGTGGGGCACTGGGGGGGGGGGGGCATAGAGTCCCTGGCACAGTTGGGGGGGGGGGGGGTGGGAAACAGAGCCTCCACCATCAGGGGGGGGGGGTCCCTCTGCCCCAGGGCTGCCAGCACGGGGGGGGGGGTGACCACTGTGAGCACTGCCGGGCTGGCTTCGTGCGCAGTGGGTCTGAGGACCCGATGGCCGGGGGGGGGGGCTGCCCCTGCCCCCTCGCAGTGCCTGGGGGGGGGGAAGCTGGGCCAGCCCCCCCAAGGTCAGGGGGGGGGGCAGCCCCGGTAGGGAAGGTCATCATCCCCTACCCGGTTGGGCCAGCACTGCCCTCTGGAGGCGGGGGGGGGGGGGGTGGGCTGGCCAGGTGGGGACCCGGGGGGGGGGGCAGCTGTCAGAGAAGCCCTTCGGTGGGGGGGGGGGTGCGGTGGGCTGCGTCCTGCGAGGAGGGGGGGGGGGGTGTCTCTGCAAACCCGGCTACGCGGGGGGGGGGGGCGAGCGGTGAGCGCGGGGGGCAGGAGGGGGGGGGGGCAGGGGGGTTGCAGGGCGGCCGGGCAGGGGGGGGGGCGTGCTGATAGGTGGGCGGGTGGGCGGGGGGGGGGGTGGACATGCGGGAAGGTGGGCGCGCGGGGGGGGGGGCCCAGGCCACTGACCCCGCTCTCGCGGGGGGGGGGGGGTGCGCGCCCGGCTTCTTCGGGAACGGGGGGGGGGTGGGCAGCTCCTGCCAGCCGTGCGACGGGGGGGGGGACGGCGACCCCAACCTGCTCTTCAGCGGGGGGGGGGCCCTGACAGGCGCCTGCCGCAGCTGCGGGGGGGGGGCCGCCGGGCCCCGCTGCGAGAGCTGCGGGGGGGGGGTTTACGGCAATGCCCTGGTGCCCGGCGGGGGGGGGGGTAGGCGGGGAGTGGCGGGAGGGAGCGGGGGGGGGGGGGCGGGCGGACAATCCACCCGGGAGGGGGGGGGGGGCAGGGCGGAGGAGGTCCGTGTTGGGGGGGGGGGGGGGAAGGAGAGGGGGGTCAGGGCCACTGGGGGGGGGGCCCTTCTGCAGGGTGTGACTGCTCTGGGGGGGGGGGAGAGACCTGTGACCCCCACAGTGGGCGGGGGGGGGGCAAGGCAGGAGTGACCGGGCCACGCTGGGGGGGGGGTCAGGTAGGGCTTCCTGGTAGGGCAGGGGTGGGGCCTCTGGGACAGGAGGCGGGGCTTGCGGGGGGGGGGGGGCCTGCTGGCGGGAGGGGGGCGTCCCGGGGGGGGGGTGCGGGGGTAGCGGGTGGGGCCTCTGGGGGGGGGGGGGGCCTGCGCGCGGGCCAGGGCAGAGGGGGGGGGGGGTCTGTGCCGCAGGAAGGATACTTCGGGGGGGGGGGCTGTGGGGGCTGCCGCCCATGCGCCTGGGGGGGGGGCGCGGAGGGCTCCGAGTGCCACCCCCAGAGTGGGCAGTGCCACTGCCGGCCAGGGGCCGCAGGGGGGGGGGGCCACGAGTGTGCCCCTGGCCACTGGGGGGGGGGGGGGCAGGGCTGCAGGCGTGAGTACGGATGGGGGGGGGGCTGTGGGGTGGCCGGCACCCTGGGACGGGGGGGGGGCCACTCACCCCGCTCCTCCCCACCTAGGGGGGGGGGGCCAGGGGGGCCACTGCGACGTGCACGGGGGGGGGGGCACCTGCCCCCCTGGGCTCAGTGGGGGGGGGGGGGACACCTGCAGCCAACAGCACCAGGTGGGGGGGGGGGGAGGGCCTGGGGACCATGGCATCCACGGGGGGGGGGCGTCACTCTGCGCTAGCCCTGCTCCTGGGGGGGGGGCTTAGGGGCATGTGAGTCCCAGCCCCTCATGACCTGGTGACCCCTCTGTTAATCTCCACTTCGGGGGGGGGGCTGTGACCTCAGCTCCCTCTCATTTTTCCCAGGGACCCCTGGGCTCTATGCTGACCTCACTCGGGGGGGGGGATCCCCAAGTCCAGAACTCCCCAACTGGGGGGGGGGGCCCCCGGACCCACCCCGAGCTTAAAGGGGGGGGGGCTGGCACCTGCCCCATTCCCTACTGAGGGGGGGGGGTCCATGCTGTTTTTTCAACTGATCCTGGGGGGGGGGTGCTTACCTGAGTCCCACTAACCTTGGGGGGGGGGGCCTGGCTCGATATTCCTGTGCCAACTGGGGGGGGGGTGGCTGACCCATCCCCACCGCGCTGAGGGGGGGGGGCCTTCCCCGGCCCCACACTGACCCCCGGGGGGGGGGCCCGCAGTGTGTGACCACTGTGTGGTGGGGGGGGGGGACGACCTGGAGCGGGCTGGCGCCCTGGGGGGGGGGATCCGGGAGCAGGTGCGCAGCATCAACGCCAGCTCCATGGCCTGGGCCCGGCTGCACAGGCTGGGGGGGGGGATCGCCGACCTGCAGGTACCTCTCGGGGGGGGGGGGCACACTGCCCTCTCAGGTTGCGGGCTGGGGGGGGGGTTACTCCCCAGAGGCAGCTCCAGAGCGGGGGGGGGGTCCGCCACCAGACGGTGCAGGAGCTGGGGGGGGGGGAACAGCAGAGCTCAAGCCTCGGACAGGGGGGGGGGGGGCTGGACGGCCAGGCAGGACCGGCCGGGGGGGGGGAGCTCCCTGGGATGCTCCTCCCCTCAGGGGGGGGGGCTCCTGGGACCCTTCCCCTTCAGTAGGGGGGGGGGGCCAGAGACCCCTCTCCCAGGGCCCCAGGGGGGGGGGTGTCGCCCCTGATCCTCGGCTCAGGCGGGGGGGGGGCGAGATGCTGTGTCCACAGGCCACAAGAGCCCTCGCCGAGGCCGGCCGGCTGCTGGACAGCAGGGGGGGGGGACTGGGCCAGGCGCAGACGCTGCTGGGGGGGGGGGGGGCTGTGGACCGCATCCTGAGTGGTAGGGGGGGGGGCAGCTGGGCAGAGGATGGTGGGGAAGGGGGGGGGGGCTCAGGGTCACGGCAGGGTTTGAAGAGGGGGGGGGGTTTGGGGTGTGTAGACATGACTGAGTGGGGGGGGGGGCAATGTGGGAGGCAGGAGAGGATGCGGGGGGGGGGGACGGGGCAGGTGGGCACCGAGGGGCGGGGGGGGGGCCTCTTTGGGGATACCATGCCCCCCCGGGGGGGGGGCCTGCTCCATGGGAAAACTTGCTGGTGGGGGGGGGGATTACAAACAGACCTGTTGCCGAAAGGGGGGGGGGGGGGTACATGGCCCAGCCCAGGGGTCGGGGGGGGGGGAAATTGCAGCCGAGTACTGACCTGGAGGGGGGGGGGGCTGGGCCAGCTGGAGAAGACGGGCAGGGGGGGGGGGGGCTGGGGAAGGTGAGAGGGTGGGGGGGGGGGGGGCAGGCAGCCGAGCAGCCGAGCAGAGCGGGGGGGGGGAGCCATCTGGGTTTTCCGAGCCATCGGGGGGGGGGGGGGTTGTGTGCGGGCACTCTGAGCACGCTTGGGTGCGGTCTCAGGCATGCAGGCCAGTGGGCGGGGGGGGGGTTGGGCAGCAGGCTGGCCCTGATGGCGGGGGGGGGGCGCCGCATAGAGCTCACGTCCCAGCCGGGGGGGGGGTCCCCGGCCAACGCCTCGGCCCCGTCGGGTGAGCATGTGCGCCGGACACTGGCTGAGGTGGAGGGGGGGGGGGGGGAGATGCGGGCCCGAGACCTGGGGGGGGGGGGGGCAGCTGCTGAGGCCGAGCTGGATGCGGGGGGGGGGCGTGAGTGGCTGAGATCAGCTTGCGAGGGGGGGGGGGGGGGCTGGGCAGGCACTGGGCGGGGGGGGGGGGGGCCTGCCCAGACAACCATCCCCACTTGGGGGGGGGGGCAGTGCTGGCCCATGTGCAGGAGCAGGGGGGGGGGGGCTGGGAGGGGAACCGGGCACTGGCCGGGGGGGGGGGGGACCAGCTGGCCCAGCACGAGGCTGGCCTCATGGACCTTCGAGGGGCCCTGAACCGGGCAGGGGGGGGGGCTCGGGAGGCTGAGGAGCTCAACAGCCGAAACCAGGAGCGCCTGGAGGACGCCCTGGTGAGGGGGGGGGGGGTCCTCCCTTCCCCTGCTCCCCCCCACGGGGGGGGGGCTTGTCCCCACCCTGTCATACTTCTCGGGGGGGGGGTTTTCTCCCCCGTGGCCTCTAGCACCGGGGGGGGGGGCTGTCCAGGGACAATGCCACCCTGAGGGGGGGGGGGCAGGCTGCCAGTGACACCCTGGCCCGGGGGGGGGGGCTCCTGCATGGTATGGACCAGGCCAGGGGGGGGGGTGCTACCCCTCCCGGGGGCGCCGAGGGGGGGGGGGGCGGCGGTCTGCACGCAGAGCGCGGCCGGGGGGGGGGCAGATCAGGGGAGAGTAAGGGATCGGGGGGGGGGGGCCACTTACGCCCCTCACCCGTCCCCAGGGGGGGGGGTGAGCACCTTGCTGCCAACCTGGATGGGGGGGGGGGGCCACTGCTGGAGAAGATGCGGGCCTGGGGGGGGGGAAGCAGCAAGGTGGAGTTGGTGGAAGGGGGGGGGGGCCACGCACAGCAGCTGGACCAGCTGGCCTTCAACCTGTCCAGGTGCGAGGCCTGCAGGGCGCGGGGGGGGGGCAGCCGGGTCCTTGCTGGGACACAGCGGGGGGGGGGGGGCTCCTGGAGGAAGAGGCCGTTGTGGGGGGGGGGTCCTGGCCCAAATTGGCTGCAAGGGAGGGGGGGGGGACGCCTGGCAGGCCGCAGGGCAGGGGGGGGGGGGGGGGGGCTGGAGCGGGCAGGCAGACCGGGGGGGGGGGGGTGATAGCGGGAGAGCCTGAGCTGTCGGGGGGGGGGTCCCCGACCACACACCCTGTGTCCCTGGGGGGGGGGCACACAGCATCATCCGTGGAGTCAACGGGGGGGGGGTCATCCAGCGGGCCATCGAGGCCGCTGGGGGGGGGGGCAGCATTCTCCAAGCCGTGCAGGCCGGGGGGGGGGCTGCTGGTCAGGCGCTGCAGCAGGCGAGCCACACATGGGCGGTGAGGCCCTGGCCCTCCCCAGGGGGGGGGGAGGAGCCCCTGCCTCCCTCCCCCTCCGGGGGGGGGGCCTGGTTCCCACCAGGCAGGTATGAAGGGGGGGGGGCCCCCATGTCTGCAGATGGTGGTGCAGGGGGGGGGGGCCCCCCGAGCCCGGGAGCTGTTGACGGGGGGGGGGGCCCTGGCAGAGGCCACCGTCAGGGGGGGGGGGGGGCTGGGCCGCGGTGAGTGCTGGGGAGCGGGGGGGGGGGTCCCATGGCGGGGGAGGGTGGTCATGGGGGGGGGGGGGTGGGAGGGTGATGGCTGCCCTGTGGGGGGGGGGTGCTTACCACCGGCTCAGCATGTTGCGGGGGGGGGGGTGGAGGAGCTGGGAAGGGGTTCCTCGGGGGGGGGGGATGGGAGCCAGGTGGATGAGAAAGCGGGGGGGGGGGGCACACGCTCTGCTGCTAGACCCTCGGGGGGGGGGGCCCCTGGGCAGTGGCCTGGCTCTCCGGGGGGGGGGAACGGAGATAAGTACATCTGCGGGGGGGGGGGGGGGTCCCCAAGCCGAGGGCCCTCGTGTCTGGGGGGGGGGGTCTGTGTGCACATTGGCCTTGTCCCGGGGGGGGGGGGCGGGCCGAGGTGGGCCATACCTGCGGGGGGGGGGTGAGGCTGCCTCCCCCCGCAGTGCGGGGGGGGGGGGAGGGCACCGGGACCCAGCTCCGAGATGGGGGGGGGGAGAAGGAACAGCTGGTGGCCCGAGTCGGGGGGGGGGAGGCCATGCTGGCCATGGACACCGGTGGGGGGGGGGTCGCCTCTGCCCTTGCCCTCTGCTTGGGGGGGGGGGGACAGCGCCCCCCCCCCCGCATGGGCGGGGGGGGGGCCGGGGCTCTCCAGTGAGCACTTGGGGGGGGGGGGGTTACACCCATGGTGTCCAGAGCGCCGGGGGGGGGGGCACACAGAATAGCTCCAAGGAGTGGGGGGGGGGGGGACGGGAACAGGAAGTGCTTTGGAGAGGGGGGGGGGGGGGTTTGGGGGAGCACAGGGAGTGTGGGGGGGGGGGATTTCCTCCCGAGGCTGGGGGCACTGGGGGGGGGGGGGCTCCCAGGAACGACATCAAGAGAGGGGGGGGGGGGTTGGAGGGCATGAGGTGGAGGTGGGGGGGGGGGGGCCAGCGCGGCTGGAGCCAAGGACCCGGGGGGGGGGGCGGGGCACGGGGTGGTGCGCCCAACGGGGGGGGGGGCGTGCAGCCGCCAACTTGGGTAGAAGGGGGGGGGGGGCTCAGACCTGGGGGTTGTGGAGGGTGGGGGGGGGGACTGGGACAGATGACGGTGGCCGTGGGGGGGGGGGGCTGAGCTGACAGGTGTCGGGGTGACCGGGGGGGGGGCTGAGAGGCTGGCACAGGGAGGTGTCGGGGGGGGGGACACAGTTGGTGTTCCTGATGCTTGTGGGGGGGGGGAGATCCGTGGGGGCTGGGCCCCCCTAGGGGGGGGGGTTGTCAGGGCGGGGCTGGTGGTCCCCTCCCCCCCACCGCAGAGGGGAGGTGAAGCCAGGACGGGGGGGGGGGGTGTCCCTCTGAGCTTGCCTGTACATGGGGGGGGGGAGACGAGACAAGCAAGAAGATTGCTCGGGGGGGGGGTGTGGCCGCCGAAGCCCAGGACACAGGGGGGGGGGGGCAGTCGCGGATTCAGGACATGCAGAGGGGGGGGGGACAGTGGCAGGGTCAGTATGGAGGCCGGGGGGGGGGGGACCTGGGCCAGGTGGTACTTGACGGGGGGGGGGGAGGTGGGTCCCGGGGTCCCCTGATGGGGGGGGGGGGGTGGCCAGGGACTGGGTGAGGCCAGGGGGGGGGGGGCACACCCTCGGCTCCCTGCAGTGTCCGGGGGGGGGGAGACACTGCCACAGCTACTCGCCAAGGGGGGGGGGGTGGAAAACCGTGGCGCGCACAACGCCGGGGGGGGGGTGTCTGCCAGCATCGGCCGCGTGCGGGGGGGGGGGGCCCAGGCCCGCGGAGCTGCCAGCAAGGGGGGGGGGGGCGCCGGGGCACAGTGCGCCTCTGGAGGGGGGGGGGGTGGACACTGATGAGCCACGCGCCGCGGGGGGGGGGCCACAGGTCAAGGTGTCCATGAAGTTGGGGGGGGGGTCAGGGGTGCAGCTGCGTGCCCCCCGGGGGGGGGGGGACCTCGCCGCCTACACCGCTCTCAAGGGGGGGGGGCAGAGTCCAGAGCCGGAGTCTGGCCAGGGGGGGGGGGATCGCTTTGTGCTGTACATGGGCAGGGGGGGGGGGCCAGGCGGGCAGGACGGGCATGGCGGGGGGGGGGGGGCTGGGCACCAGCTGGGAGCCGGCAGGGGGGGGGGGGTCCCCGTCCTGCTGAGTCTCCTGTCGGGGGGGGGGGTCGGGGACTACATGGGCGTGGCTCTGGGGGGGGGGAAGGTGCACTGGGTATACCGCCTGGGGGGGGGGGGGCTCGCAGCCCTCAGCGTCGACGAAGAGGGGGGGGGGCAGTTCGCAGCAGTCAGCATTGACAGGGGGGGGGGGTGGCCCCCTGTGCTTCCCCCACCGCCGGGGGGGGGGCACTCGTCACTCCCCCTCTGCTTTCAGGGGGGGGGGGTTTGGCCACATGTCTGTCACGGTGGGGGGGGGGGGGCTCCATGAGACCAAGGGCGACACAGGGGGGGGGGGGGCTGAGGGGCTGCTCAGTTTGCGGCGGGGGGGGGGTGTCTTCTACGTGGGGGGCTACCCCAGCCACTTCACGGTGAGCCTGGCCTGGTGGGGGCGGCGGGGGGGGGGTGTCCCAGCAAGTCCTGCTCCATGTCCGGCTGCACGCTGAGCGCCCTCCCTTGGGTCTGCCTGGGGGGGGGGAGCCCTGACTATGCCCTGTGCCCACAGGGGGGGGGGCCCCTCCGCTTCCCTGGCTACCTGGGGGGGGGGGGGATGGACACGCTTAACGAGGAGGTTCTGGGGGGGGGGAACTTCGAGGAGACCTTCCAGCTGGAGGGGGGGGGGGACAGGCCTTGCGCCCGGTACGTGCAGGGGGGGGGGGGCCCTCATCCCGCCGCGGCCAGCTCTTGGCTGACCCCTGTGACCTCTGACCTGTAGCTCCAGGGGGGGGGGGGACCCGTGGCTCACAGATGGCTCCCGGGGGGGGGGCTCCGGCTTCGCGCGCATCAGCGTGGGGGGGGGGGGCGGCATGACCAAACGCTTCGAGCAGGGGGGGGGGGGTGTGTCCTCCAACGGGATCATCTTCTGGGGGGGGGGCCAGGCACGCGGGCTGCCCGGGCCCCGGGGGGGGGGACTCCCCCCCCCTCCCCACAGCATACGGGGGGGGGGCCTCCCCCCAGGACCAGTTCCTGTGCGGGGGGGGGGAGAAAGGCAGCCTCCTCCTCCTCTACGGGGGGGGGGCAGGCCTGATGCGGGCCAAGCCGCAGGGGGGGGGGGTGCACAAACTGCTAACCATGACCACGGGGGGGGGGGCAGTAAGGCTGGGCTCGGGGGAGGGCGGGGGGGGGGCGGGAGGACTCGCAGGACCCACGGCGGGGGGGGGGGCCCTGGCTCGTGGGCACCTTGCAGATGGGGGGGGGGCTGCTGGGGGGTAATCGTGGCCGTGTGGGGGGGGGGCTGGTGCGCGTGGAGAGGAACAACGTGGGGGGGGGGGACCACAGCAGCACGCTGGAGCTGGCGGGGGGGGGGTACCTGGGAGGCGTGCCGCCCGACCAGCTGCCGCCAAGGTGAGCAGGCGGCTGGGGCGTGGCGGGGGGGGGGGCTGGGGGCTCGAAGGCGGCGGCGCCGGGGGGGGGGTCCCCTGCAGCCTGCAGCAGCTCTTCGGGGGGGGGGGCTCAATCCGTGGCTGCATCAAGGGCGGGGGGGGGGAGGGCAAGTACGTGGATCTCAAGAGGGGGGGGGGGGCGGGCATCAGCTCGGGCTGCACTGCCGGGGGGGGGGTGAGCCCACCCCCGCCCTGGCCGGCAGGGGGGGGGGCCAGGCCTGTGCCGTGGGCCCTCACGGGGGGGGGGGCTGCAGGTGGGACGGGCCATGACTTTGGGGGGGGGGGGCTACCTGTCCTTGGAGCTCCCTGAGGGGGGGGGGGCCTCGGGCCACATCTACTCCGGCTTGGGGGGGGGGAGCACCCAGGACGTTGGTCTTCTCTAGGGGGGGGGGTTCCTGGTGCGTGCGTCCCTGCTCCCGGGGGGGGGGGCGTGGGGTTTGGGGGGGCTGGAGGGGGGGGGGGGGGGCCCCGGCCTGGTCCACTGACCTGGGGGGGGGGGGCAGGATGGGCCATACCAGGTGTCCCTGGGGGGGGGGCGTGTGATACTCCAGCTGCTGAGGACGGGGGGGGGGACTCGAGGGAGCTTTGCCGATGGCGTGGGGGGGGGGGTGGCTTTCTACAGCAACGACACAGGGGGGGGGGGGCCCACCGGGCCTCTGGCAGCGGTGTCGGGGGGGGGGAAGGCGGCAGTGCGGCAGGCGGATGTGGGGGGGGGGGGGGGAAACATTGCTCTTGCCTGCAGGGGGGGGGGGTATGTGGACGACCAGCTTCAGCAGATGGGGGGGGGGCAGGGGCCGCCCCCCAGGCCCCAGCCGGGGGGGGGGCAGGATCTCTTCTTAGGAGGTTTGTCGGGGGGGGGGGACTACGTCAACTTCAAGGGCTGCATGGGGGGGGGGTTCGTGATGCGGTGAGCTGTGGGCGGGGGGGGGGGGGGGGCGGTGCCCACCCCCCGCCCCGCGGGGGGGGGGGGTGCTACTCCCCTCAGGCCCGTGGGGGGGGGGGGGGTATTCGACCTACAGCAGGACTGGAAGGGGGGGGGGGTGAGCTCAGGCTGTGCCCCCACCCCGGGGGGGGGGACCCCAGGGCAGGCACCTCGAGGACTGGGGGGGGGGGCGGCACAGAAGGTGGGGCACCTGGAGGGGGGGGGGTGGGCGGGGGGGGGGAGGGTTGGTGGGGGGGGGGGGGGCGATCCCCACGCATTCCTGCTTCCGGGGGGGGGGCCACAGGCCGGCCGACGTAGCCGCCAGCCCCCCCAGGACCCTGCCTGCACAACACCCTGGCCGGGGGGGGGGATCCAAGATGCCTACCAGTTTGGGGGGGGGGGGGGGAGTTACCTGGAGTTTGCCCACATCCCGGGGGGGGGGGGGAACTGGTAAGGCTGGGCCGGGTGGGGGGGGGGGGGAGGGGCCGCCCAGGCTGACGGCCTGGGGGGGGGGCCAGGTCCCACCTCTCGATGCTGGTCCGTCCTCGTACCCCACGAGGACTCCTGCTGCTCGCTGGGGGGGGGGCGGCCAGCAGCCCTTCTCTGCTTCTCGGGGGGGGGGACGGACACTTTGTTGCCCAGACGGAGGGGGGGGGGGCCCAGCTCCGCGTCCAGAGCCGCCAGGGGGGGGGGGCTGGCCGGTGGCACATGGTGAGAGGGGGGGGGGGGGGGACAGGGGCCGGGTCCTGGGAGCTCGGGGGGGGGGGTGCCTCCTCCTGCCCCCAGGTGTCTGGGGGGGGGGGGAAGACTCGGATCCAGCTGGCGACAGGGGGGGGGGGGGCCCAGGACCGGGAGGGGCCCGGCGGGGGGGGGGAGGGGGCAGGGAGCCCCCGGCCCCAGGGGGGGGGGGTGGGGGGCCTCCCTGCCAGTGGCTTCGGGGGGGGGGTCCCAGTGAGAACCCCCTCCATCTACGGGGGGGGGGCCCTGAAGCACCTCACTCCGCACCCCGGGGGGGGGGCTCACTTCCACGCCCCTCCCCGGCTGAATGGCCCTCCCCAGCCCCTGGGACCTTCCCCCACAGGGGGGGGGGTGTGTCCCCGCAGGTGGCCACCAGCAGGGGGGGGGGCAGTGGCTGTGTGAGGAGACTGAGGCGGGGGGGGGGGCCCCTGGGGGCCCCCACACGGGTGAGGGGGGGGGGGCCATGCTTCTCAGGCCCCCTGGAGAGGGGGGGGGGCTTCGCAGACAGCGGGGGTGTCGTCAGGGGGGGGGGGTAGAGCGTGGGTGTGCCCCTAGCCCGGGGGGGGGGGAGTGGGGCTCCAAAAGGGGGGAGCCGGGGGGGGGGTGCCCCTCCTCACGGCCCCCTTCTCAGGGGGGGGGGGGGGGCCGTGCTGCCTCACGTGGCCCGGGGGGGGGGGGTGCGGCCTCGGACGGCCACCAGCCGGGGGGGGGGCCTGGGCCGGGGCCAGGCACCACCCTGGGGGGGGGGGCAGGTGCTGGCCAAGCAGGTAAGCTGGGGGGGGGGGGGCTGCGGCCGCAGGGTCGGATTGGGGGGGGGGGGGCCCTCCTGACCTCCCCCCCGCCCCCGGGGGGGGGGGCGGGCGGACGACGGTGCGGGGGAGTGGGGGGGGGGGGTGACGTGCCCGGCAGCCTTGTGTGGGGGGGGGGGGCACCGACTGGCAGGTGAGCTGGCCCGGGGGGGGGGCCTGCTTTTCTGCTGAGTAGAGCACCGGGGGGGGGGCAGTGGTGGGCCCCCCAGGCAGGCTGGGGGGGGGGGAGCCCCTGGCCCCCACCCCACCCTCCGGGGGGGGGGGACCCTGTGCCCACAGTGACCAGAAGGGGGGGGGGGCTCCAGCTAGAGGTGGATGCACGGAGGGGGGGGGGGTTGGGCCCTGCGCTGGTGGCCTCCATGGGGGGGGGGCAAGCACCTCTGCACCTCGGGGGACTGGGGGGGGGGTGCAGCCTCAGCATGGGGGGTGGGGGGGGGGGGGGGCTCAGCCCACCCTCCTGTGATGGGGCGGGGGGGGGGACTGAGGCGTTGGGGGGGGGGGCCGTGGGGGGGGGGCCTCTGCTCTGACCTGTCTCCCCATCGGGGGGGGGGCCCCCAGAGCCCACGAACACACAGGCGGGGGGGGGGGCCTACCGCGGCTGCATGAGAAATCTGGGGGGGGGGGGGTCCCCCGTCACCTGGCCTCGCTCGGGGGGGGGGCAGGGGGCAGTGGGGGCCAGCGGCTGGGGGGGGGGGTAGCGAGCTGACCCTCCAGCAGCCACGGGGGGGGGGCTTCAGGGGCCCCGGCCTGGCGTCCACAGGAGGGCCGCCCTGGGCAGGCAGGCTCCCACCTCGGGGGGGGGGAGCCCCTGCAATTCAGCCCATTTCACGGGGGGGGGGTCTGTCTGGACTCTAGATTCTAGGAAGGGGGGGGGGTTTTTTTGAGAACGATTTTAAGTTATGGGGGGGGGGTAAAACTGGGGTTTTTAATACTTTACTTTTTATCTTTCGGCTTCATAATGAGATTTTTTTCTGGGGGGGGGGTTCATAAACATGAGAAATCTGTCCTGGGGGGGGGGGCTTAAAAAGAATAGGGGTGCCTGCCTGGGGGGGGGGTCATGGTCCCGGGGCCCTGGGATCGAGCCCTGCGTCGGGCTCCCTGCTCAGCGGGGAGCCTGGGGGGGGGGGCCCTCTCCCCCTGCTTGTGTTCCCGCGGGGGGGGGGTCTCTGAATAAAATCTTAAAAAATTAGGGGGGGGGGTCTGTTCGAGTGAGTGTTGGCCTCAGGGGGGGGGGGGGTAGAGCAGTCGGTCAGGGGCGGATGGGGGGGGGGGACATGCTCGTGGGGACCGCTGCCCGGGGGGGGGGGCGCCCGCCCGCCCCGGGCACACAGGGGGGGGGGGGGTGGCAGGTAAAAGACAAGACCTTTATGGGGGGGGGGGGCGGGGGCGAGGCCGCGCCGCAGCCGGGGGGGGGGGGCTAGTCCAAGCTCATGTCCTCCTCGGGGGGGGGGTTGTCCTTCCCGTCACCCTCCTGCCGGGGGGGGGGGCCGCTCTGCATAGCTTTGGCAAACGCGGGGGGGGGGAGAATGTGTTGAAAAACAGGAGGCGTGGGGGGGGGGCCCCGGCCTGGAAGGGCTCACCGGAGGGAATGACAACCTCAAGACTGAGGCCCAGGCCAGCCAGCCCTACGCTGTGCAAACCCTCACCCGCGGCATGGGGGGGGGGGGCTTACCGCCCTTGTTGGCGGCCTCCAGGGGGGGGGGGGGCAGGCCGAACTGGCACATGAGGGGGGGGGGGGGCCCAGAGGCCAAGGCCGCGCTGAACATGCCCAGGGCCTGCGAAGGAAAGCCAGACACTCCTGAGCACACACTTGGCAAAGGCCCCCCCGGGGGTGGGGGGGGGGGGGGGTGCCAGTCGCAGGTGCAAGGACGCTGGGGGGGGGGGAGCCACGTGGAAGGTAAGCCATGTCGGGGGGGGGGGAGCACACAGCAGGGCAACCAGGCCGGGGGGGGGGGCTGCTGGAACTGGGGCGAGGTCAGCGGGGGGGGGGGCTCCTCTGCCGTCTGTGGCAGTGACTGGGGGGGGGGCAGGTAGGGCAGCAGGCGCTCCTGGACGTCCGCGTTGGCAAGGATAGGTGCCATGATCTCGGGCGTCAGAACACTGGCCAGGTCAACTAAGGCACAAGGGGGGGGGGGTCAGCCACAGAGGCCCAAGCCGTGACGGGGGGGGGGGTGGCGAGGAAAGGGGGGCAGCAGCTGGGGGGGGGGACATGCTTGGCCCCATGCCTTGGAAAGGGGGGGGGGGAGCAGGCAGGGGGCAACAGGCACCTTCACCCCCCCAGCCTGGAGCCGAGCAGCATGTTACCGGGGGGGGGGCCTCCTGGCCCGGCCGGCACGTTCATGGGGGGGGGGATGCTCTGAAGGTCGCTCAGCTGGATGGGGGGGGGGGGGCTGGCTGCCGTGCTGGTTCCATTGGGGGGGGGGGGTGCGGGGCTCGGGCTGGTCACCGAGGGGGGGGGGGGAGCAGAGGGGGCTGGGGTGGCTCGGGGGGGGGGGGTGGTGGAGGACGGGGTGACGGCTGCGGGGGGGGGGCGGGAGCTGGGAAGAGCGAGGGCAGCGGGGGGGGGGCCAGGCACCCCTAAAGGCGCCCACAGGGGGGGGGGGTGTGGCAGGGGTCCCTGAACTGCTGGGGGGGGGGGGAGACCCCGAAAAGGACCTCCCCAGGCGGGGGGGGGGTCCTTCCGCATCTCCTACGTCCAGTCGGGGGGGGGGGGGGGACCCCCGGTGGCACCCAGGCAGGGGGGGGGGGAGGACAAGGCTCACCTGGATGAAGAGGGGGGGGGGGGAGGCCCCCCACTCCCCAGTAAGCTGGGGGGGGGGGGCCCGGTCAGGGCCCCCAGCCCACCGGGGGGGGGGCATGAGCTCAGACGCCACGCTCTCCTGGGGGGGGGGCCTCCCCACCAGACATCCTGCGCTAAGGGGGGGGGGCAAGCAGGGGGAAGTGGTGACCACAGTGGGCTGGGGTGCCGGAGTAGCGATGGCTCAGACTGGGGGGGGGGGGAAGTTTATTCCGTAAGTCAGATTGTGGGGGGGGGGTTCCACTAACGACACACTTAGGTCCAAGGTAACACGCAGTCCAAACCCGGCAGAATAGTGAGCGTTTCCCTGCCACCCAAGAAACACACCGATCCCAGCCCAACAGGAGGTGGCAACGGGTAGGCCCACCAGAGGGGAACCAGAGCAGAGGGCCCCGGGCAGGAGCCCCACTCCCAGGCCAGCTGTGCTCCCCTCGAGTACAGAGCTGGGTCCTCACCACGGACCAGCTCCCAGCTCAAACCACAGAGCACGTGGCCCTTCCCAAGGAAGCCGGCACAGGGGGGGGGGGTTCACAGATGTCAGTGAGAGCCAATGGGGGGGGGGAATTCAAATCCCAAAGCAACCGTAACGGGGGGGGGGCCACTCCTAACACAGGCGTTACCCAGGGGGGGGGGGCCAGCAGGTCCGATGAGCTGCATGAGCTGGCTGTGGCTCATGTTCCCCAGCAGGCTCTGCAAGGGGGGGGGGCCTGTAAGACAGAAGGGGCTCAGACTGGGGGGGGGGGCGTACCCAGGTCGACACCCACAGGGGGGGGGGGGGGCTGGGGGCCTTGGGCTGAGACAGCAGGGGGGGGGGCCCCTCCCTTTGGCTTTCCCAGCACTGGGGGGGGGGTCCTCGAAGGAACCAACAGGGCGGAGGGGGGGGGGGTTTACCACCAGAAGCTGGGCGGAGGCGGGGGGGGGGAACTACTAAAAGGCTTCTAACTTGAAGGGGGGGGGGTCTACTTAAAAACAACCAGCCCGGGGGGGGGGGGGGTGGCTCGGTGGGTTGAGTGTCTGCCTGGGGGGGGGGTCATGATCTCAGGGTCCTGGGGATCGGGGGGGGGGGCGGGCTCAGTACTCAGCGGGGAGCCTGGGGGGGGGGCTTCCTCTGTCCCTCCCCCCTGCACGTGCTCTTTCAATAAAAAAATGAAATCAAAACCAAAAGGGGGGGGGGTGAATCATCAGAAGTACACGTCATTGGGGGGGGGGGACATGCCAACACATTCTGGAAGGTGAGGGGGGGGGGCCAGTGCAGAGAGCTCATGGCCTCCAGGGGGGGGGGCCCCCAGCGCTCCAGGCATCGGAGGGGGGGGGGGGGACTCGTTGACCTTCCGGCAATGTTCCGGGGGGGGGGCCGTCTTGGGCTCCTGTGGGGGGAGGGGGGGGGGGGAGCTGCAACGGAGCGGCCCGCTGCCAGGGGGGGGGGTTACAGACGAGCGAGGCTCGGCAGGTGGGGGGGGGGGTCTGCAGCCACACAGCACCGAAGAGGACCCCGCAGGGTTGAAAAGAACAGCAGTCCATCGAGGGGGGGGGGGCTATGGCAACGTTCGTTTTGAGGGCGGGGGGGGGGAAGCACCAAGAACACCCAGTCTGCACGGGGGGGGGGCTTCCGACCCTCCAGAATTTTGTGCTGGGGGGGGGGGTCTAAAAGCCACGATGCCTTCCTGTGGGGGGGGGGACACAGTAAAATAATCCTTTTACCACGGGGGGGGGGACGAACCAGCCCCAGCCCGTGGCCCTTCAGGGTTAGTTGGAAACTCAAGAAAGCACCTGGCAGGGGGGGGGGACCAGCACCTCGGGGTGTAGCGCGTCGGGGGGGGGGACCGTCCGGTAAGTGCCCCCTGAACTGGGGGGGGGGGCACCCACGACTGAGGAGGCACTGTGGGGGGGGGGGGGGGCCAGGGACAAAGAAGGGGGACAGGGGGGGGGGCCCCACCCCCAGGGTGGAGGACAGGAGGGGGGGGGGGCAATATCAGGTAAGGTAGGGCTGGTGGGGGGGGGGCTGGCAAAACCGTGCAGAAACAAGCTGGGGGGGGGGACCCCTGTCTGTGTTTGCAAATGAAGGGGGGGGGGGACGCGCCGCACCCGTCCATTTACTCCGGGGGGGGGGGCCTCTCACGCTACGTGGGCAGAGGCAAGTGTCTGCAGCACAGCCTGTCTGGCCCCCAGAAAGGGGGGGGGGCCATGTATCTAGAACGTACTAGGGGAGGGGGGGGGGGGTCAACCTCTGGGGAAGGAAAATGGGGGGGGGGGGCAGAACTGTAAATGCCCCCTGTATACGGGGGGGGGGCAAGTCTACTTCTCGATTTTAACATAGGGGGGGGGGCCCCATACAGAAAATAGCCTCCGTGTAGAATCACTCATTAACCCACTGCTAGAGATAAAACGGGGGGGGGGGGATGGAAACAAGCCCAATGGCCGACAGGGGGGGGGGAGAGCGACGGCTGCCAAACTCAATGGGGGGGGGGGGGCAGCTGTGGGCGCCAGGGAGCCCTGGTGCACTGACCCCCAAAGACCCCCAAAGCACGCAACGGGGGGGGGGAGGGGAAGGCAGGGCTGAGAAAAGCCGGGGGGGGGGCACTCCATTTTTGTAAAAAACACAGCGGGGGGGGGGCACATAGTCATCCCTGCTTCCGCTCTGGGGGGGGGGTGGCGGGGGGTGGGGGGCACGCACTGGGGGGGGGGGAAACCAGAGACTATGCACCCGTCAATGGGGGGGGGGTGGGGCCGGGTCCAGAAACCACTCTTGGGGGGGGGGGAATTCTGGATCTTGCATGGGCACCTGGAGCCCAGCCACAAATGTCTGGACTCTGGAAGAGGGGGGGGGGGGCAGTGCCCCCCACCCCCCACCCCCACGGGGGGGGGGACCGGAATTTTTAGGGTCCATGACAAGGGGGGGGGGTCAGCATCAGCCGTTTCATGAAAGTGAATTCTACCGTCCAGTGAGCAAGTTTCTAACCTGATGGGGGGGGGGAGAAACGTAAAATGCAAACAAAACCTGGGGGGGGGGTGCATCCAAAAGAAGAGCCGTTTGGAGGGGGGGGGGAACTTGAGCACATAGACCCTCCCGCTGGGGGGGGGGGGCACGCGCTTGAACTCACAGTCGTCAGGAAAGATGATCAAGTCCTTCCAAGAGCCACAGAAGGGGGGGGGGTTAGCTTCACGGAAACACACACTGCTGATCCCACAGCCTCCCAGAGAAACACGCTGGCTCCTGGGGGGGGGGGGGGGCGGGAGGAGGGGGTACAAGATGGGGGGGGGGTCAAGTCACCAAGGCCCCTCACCAGCGGGGGGGGGGCTGGGTGGAGAAGCCAGGGTCAGAAGGGGGGGGGGGAGGGCATGAGGGCCAGGAGAGGGGCTCGGTGCTCAACAAGGAAGGTGGGCTTGCAGCTTTTCGGGGGGGGGGAAGAAAGACATCTTGGGAATGATGCTCCAAAACGAGTTAAAAGGTAGTTCTGCACTGCCCTCGGGGGGGGGGAAGTTAGTCTGAAGGACAAAGGACGCGGGGGGGGGGAGCTGCTCAGAAAGAACTGGTTAACAGGTCAGCATTCACATGCGGCGCACTTCTAGGCACCTGGGGGGGGGGGTGCAATGCACAGACCACGATGGAAGGGGGGGGGGGAATCCTGAAACTCGGAACGCGCACGAGGGGGGGGGGACAGCTGATGTGGGCACCAAAGCAGCGGTGCCTTCGAATCCCAGCAACGCACTCCGAGTGTAGGGGGGGGGGTGTGTGTCCCAAACGCAGCGATGGCAGCTCCACGCGCTCCTGTCCCGAGGATGAGGCGCGCTGGGGGGGGGGAGACTCAGGGTAACAAGACACTTACGTCTTCCACGTTCCCAGACGTCCTGTCTTTCCAGCAGGGGGGGGGGGGGGAGTCATCCGTCTGCTGAATGTACGGGGGGGGGGTCCGTTTATCTGGGGTGACAGTAGTTGGGGGGGGGGACATTTTTCCTGCACGAAACTCCACCGGGGGGGGGGTGGAGGACCCACGGGAGCCTGGCACCGGGGGGGGGGAGAGAGCGCCTGAAGTCGTCATCCTGGGGGGGGGGGCAGCATGCAAACCCGGTCAAAGCAGGGGGGGGGGGGGGCCACCCCGGGGCGGGGAGGAAGGGGGGGGGGGGGGCTGTCCTCGCGGAGCCCGGCCACAGGGGGGGGGGGCACCTGAGCCCGCGGAGCCAGGTGCCGGGGGGGGGGTGCCGCCGCCGCTTCTCGGGTTTCCCGGGGGGGGGGACTCACCGTCCGGCTGCGGGTGGCCCGGGGGGGGGGCCCCCCCACACCCCGCGGCACTCGGGGGGGGGGGGGCCTGGGGCCCCCAACAAGTTGACAAAGGGGGGGGGGGTGGGAGTGGAGCCCTCAGCCGGCTTCTGCGGGGCCCGCCCGCTAAACCGCAGCGCGGCAGCGGGGGGGGGGGGCAGGGGAGGAGCGCTGCGGGGCAGGGGGGGGGGGTCCGCGGCCGGGGGGGCGCGCCGCCCGGGGGGGGGGCACCCCGCGGGGGGCCGCACCCCTAGGGGGGGGGGGCCGGGCGTCGCGCTGGGCTGACGGGCGGGGGGGGGGGCGGCGGGCTCGAGAGCCCGAGGCCCGGGGGGGGGGGCCGCCCCGCGCACGGGCCCCCCCCAGGGGGGGGGGTCGCCGGCCGCCCCCCCAAACACACAGGGGGGGGGGCGCGGATCCGACCCCGGCTCAGGCACGGGGGGGGGGCAGGCCCCGCCCCCCCGGCCGTCCCCGGGGGGGGGGACCCCCGCACCTGGCCCGCGCCGCGAGGGGGGGGGGAGGCGCCGTCCGGGATCGCTCTTCCTGGGGGGGGGGTGCCGGGCCCCGCCGGAAGTCCCCTCGGGGGGGGGGCCCCCCGCCGCTCTCGCTGCCTATTGGGGGGGGGGGGGGGCGGGGCCGACGCCGAGCCGCCAGGGGGGGGGGGAGACAGCCGTCCATCGGCCCGCCCCGGGGGGGGGGTCCTTTCCGGCGGAAGCGCGGGCGGGGGGGGGGGGGGCCAGAGAGGCTCCTATTGTTGCTGTGGGGGGGGGGCGCGGCGGCGGCCCCTGGCGGCGGCGGGGGGGGGGGCGAGGCAGGCGCCCACCGAGCGGGGGGGGGGGGGGGCCGCACCCCCACCCCCACCGTCGCTGGGGGGGGGGGGCACCTGCGGGGCGGGAGGGGGCGTCGGGGGGGGGGGGCTAGGGCGACACGCCAGGTCCCAAGGGGGGGGGGAAACAGCCCCTGGGCCAGGGGATCTTGGGGGGGGGGGGCTGGGGAGGGCCGACTTCGCGACCGGGGGGGGGGGTCACCGAATCGCAGCCCTGGACTCCGGGGGGGGGGCGCAGCGGCGGAGACACCGGCGGTGGGGGGGGGGGGGCGACAGAAGTGCCGTGTTGCCTCCTGGGGGGGGGGCCCCATGACAGTGCTGGCATGGCTGCGGGGGGGGGGCCCCGGGGGGTGTGTCTCCCTACTCCGGGGGGGGGGCTCTTGGGGTCCCCGTATTCCCCCCTGGGGGGGGGGCTATTCCCCCTCATAATCCCCTGGGGGGGGGGGGGGAACCCCCATTCTCCCCTAGGGCCCCTGGGGGGGGGGCATTCTTCCTTGGGGGCCCCCCTGTTGGGGGGGGGGACAGTGCTGGCATGGCTGCCCCTCATTCTCCCCCGGGGGGGAGGAGGGACTCCCTACTTCCCGGGGGGGGGGCTGGGGGTCCCCCATCCCCCCGTGATGATAGTGCTGGCATCTCCATCTGTGCGTGGAGTTCCGGGGGGGGGGATGCGTGTGCTCAGAGCGGAGTGGAAGGGGGGGGGGTCCATCAAGCCAGACTAGATATTCACGGGGGGGGGGGGATGCCCTCCGCTTCCATCCTGTACGGGGGGGGGGCAGTTGGCAGTAACCAAGCCGGGCACACCCACTCAGAGCCTGTGCCCTCCCAGCCCGCACTAGGGGGGGGGGCCAAAAGCAAAGCCACCATGCGTGCTGGGGGGGGGGTTGTCATTTATATGTGTAAACTTTGTGGGGGGGGGGATAAGAAGTATCAAAGTGGAAGGTAGTTTTTGTTTTGAAGATGTATTCACGTTGATACATGTGGGGGGGGGGGTGTTCATTTTAACTCCTATATGATGGGGGGGGGGGTAGCCTGAAGTATAACTTTTTTTTAAGGGGGGGGGGTTTATTTTAGAGAGAGAGAGCATGTGGGGGGGGGGGGGGGCAGAGGGAGCGAGGGAGAGAATGGGGGGGGGGCTCCCCACTGAGCAGGGAGCCCGATGGGGGGGGGGGTCCCAGGACCCTGAGATCATGACCTGGGGGGGGGGGAAGAGCCAGCCACCCAGGTGCCCTTGGGGGGGGGGGACTTCTGCAGCATCCATTGTCTCGTGGGGGGGGGGGTCACCAATTTTGCTTTGTTTTGGAAAGGGGGGGGGGTTCTCATTAAAAATGTTTATTTAATAAATAATGAGCTTGCTATTTTTTAATTAGCTAAATACGGGGGGGGGGCTTCATTTCATTTCCTAGTATGGTAAGGGGGGGGGGATCACACCCACACACATGAGCTCCATGGGGGCCTGGATCGATCCTGAAACCCTAGGGTCCCAGGGGGGGGGGGGGAGAGGGGCACGGCCATGAGCCCGGGGGGGGGGGCCCCCCGCCTGGAGCGACGCTCCAGGGGGGGGGGGGCAACAATGGGAAACTCCAATCTGGCTGGGGGGGGGGGCGCCAGCAGGCAGGAAAAGTCAGGAGGGGGGGGGGAGCTGCCACAGCAGGATGCAGGGAAAGGGGGGGGGGAGACCCCGAAGAGCATGCTTCCCTCCGGGGGGGGGGCCTCGCAGGGCCCTCACCCAAGCCGGGGGGGGGGGGCTGAGGCTGGTTCCATGACAAACGTCGGGGGGGGGGAGTGGCCACAGGCGGACGGGTATGGCGGGGGGGGGGGGGTGCGCCCGCCCCCCTCCCCCGGCGGGGGGGGGGCGTGGGGGACGAGGCAGCAGGGCGGGGGGGGGGGGGGCTCCTGCACTGGTGGCAGGCAGGGCGGGGGGGGGGCGGGTGCAACTCGAAAGGGGGCAGGTGGGGGGGGGGGACACATCAGCAAAGAGGGGTACAGCGGGGGGGGGGCACAGGAGAAGGGAGCCCACGCCGTTGGGGGGGGGGGAAACACAAGTGAAAACACACCGATGGGGGGGGGGGGAGCCTGGAGAGGGGGACGTGACAGAGGGGGGGGGGGGCACGGCAGCCCAGCCCCCACAACAGGGGGGGGGGGGCAGGTTTTTGCAATCATCTTTCTTGGGGGGGGGGGATCCTTTCTTTTTGGGGGGAATTGTGGGGGGGGGGCCAAGGCGAACAGGAAGTACTGAGAGGGGGGGGGGGACCCTCCGCACGCACCTCCTCCTCCCGGGGGGGGGGCCCCCGCCGCAGGGCACGTGACCGCCGGGGGGGGGGCGCGGACAGCTCCCTGCACGCTGGCTGGGGGGGGGGACACATGCGTGACACACGCACCCAGCGGGGGGGGGGCGCTGAGCGGTCTCACTGCCTTCAAGGGGGGGGGGGTCCTTCTGTCCATCCTCCTGGCAACCGGGGGGGGGGTCTTTCCTTTTTTTTTTTTTGGTGGTGGGGGGGGGGGGACATAAAATTTACCATCTTAACCAGGGGGGGGGGAGCGGCCCAGTGGCGGTAAATACATTGGGGGGGGGGAGCATCAGAGTCCCTGTTCCCTTGTGAAACACTAACTCCCCACCCCTCTGTCCCGGCCATCCGGGGGGGGGGCACGTTTGGATGACTTTAAGTAGGTAGGGGGGGGGGAATCCTGCAGTATTTGTCTTTCTGGGGGGGGGGGGGCTCACCGAGCGCGACGTCCTCAAGCTGGGGGGGGGGGGCAGCAGGTGTCGGGGACTCCCCTCGGGGGGGGGGTAGATCACACTGTGCTCATCCGGTCACGCCCAGGCAGACACCTGGGTTGCTCCGTGATTCAGGGGGGGGGGGCGACACTGCATCGACGTGAACGTGCTGGGGGGGGGGCAGGACGTTGCTTCCCATTCCTTTGGGGGGGGGGGGACAGCGGAACTACCGGATCATCTGGTGGGGGGGGGGGTAACATTCTGAGAAACTGTCATCCTGTTTTCCACAGCAGCTGCCCCGCTTTAGATTTCCAGGGGGGGGGGGGGCGGGTTCCAATCCATCCACATTCTCGCCAACACTTGGTGTGTGCTTGTTTTCGACAGTCGCCATCCTCACAGGTGTGAGGTGGGGGTCTCACTGTAGGGGGGGGGGGCATTTCCCACCTGATTAGTGATGCCGGGGGGGGGGTCATGGACTTACTGGCCATTTGTGCAGGGGGGGGGGAGAAATGTCTATGGGGTCCTTTGCGTATTTTTGGATCAGGTTGGTTGTTGTTTGTTCAGTCTGGGGGGGGGGCTGCATATTCTCGATGTCAAACCCCTGGGGGGGGGGGAATTTGTCTATATTTTCTCCCGTTCGGGGGGGGGGGTTTTTACTTGATACTGTCTGATGCAGGGGGGGGGGGTTTTCATCTTGTCCAATTTGTCTGTGGGGGGGGGGGTTGTCTGTGCCTTCGACGTCCTACCGGGGGGGGGGCTGCCAAGTCCTATGTCGCTAAGCTTGGGGGGGGGGCTTTCTTCTAAAAGTTTTATGGTTGGGGGGGGGGGGTGGTTCGGTCAGTTAAGCATCTGCCTGGGGGGGGGGTCATGATCCCAGGGTCCTAGGATTGAGGGGGGGGGGAGCTCCCTGCTGAGTGGGGAGCCTGCTTCTCTCTCTCCTGCTCCCCCTGCTTGTGTGCTCTCGGGGGGGGGGTAATTAAAATCTTTTAAAAAATAAATGGGGGGGGGGATAAAAATCTTGGGACACCTGGGTGGGGGGGGGGGGTGAGCATCTGCCTTCAGCTCGGGTCAGGGGGGGGGGGTCCTGGGATCGAGTCCCACACTGGGGGGGGGGGGGCGCAGGGAGCCTGCTTCTCCCCGTCTGGGGGGGGGGCTGCTTGTGCTCTGTTTCTCTCTCTCGGGGGGGGGGAAATAAAACCTTTAAAAAAATAAATAGGGGGGGGGGCTTTATGTTTTGGGGTGTAACATTTAGGGGGGGGGGACACGTTGAGTTACTTTTGTAGAAGGTGTGAGGTAGGGGTCCGGTTTTCCCAGCACTGTTTTGGGGGGGGGGTGTTCTTTCCCCCTTGAATGGTCTTGGGGGGGGGGGCATCTGAGCATATATGTTGATGGTGGGGGGGGGGGGGTATGAATTTTGTCAAGTGCACACGGGGGGGGGGGGACTATAAATAAGGGTTAAATCCCACTGGGGGGGGGGACCTGCTGTGAAACCAAGGGCAAGCCGGGGGGGGGGCACCTTCTTTTCCCTCTCCACTGGTGGGGGGGGGGGGTAATTGTGGGGATTAAGCTCCCAAGGGGGGGGGGGCTGGCTCTGGCAGTGCTGAGTGCTCGGGGGGGGGGGTCATCAGACACGGCAGCCCGTGGGGGGGGGGGGGGGCTATGCACCTGGGCATCCCGAGGGCGGGGGGGGGGGGTGAACCGTCTGTCCCTCTGACCAGAGGGGGGGGGGCTATTCAGAGGACTGTCTCCACTCAGGGGGGGGGGGCGGAAAGCATGTGGCTGCTGGGTGCCGGGGGGGGGGGCCAGGCAGCAAAGACCCTCAAGTCAGGGGGGGGGGGTGTGTTCTGGGCATTTCATGGCTTTGGGGGGGGGGCTCTGATTCCCAGGAGAGAAGAGAGATGGTCACTCAGAGCTCCCCACTGCTCAGAGAACACAGGGGGGGGGGCCCATCCAGTGGCCTGCCCAGTGGTGGGGGGGGGGGCCCTGAATCCCCTGTCCACCATGACAGGGGGGGGGGTGGAACAATCCATTTGCTGGGCCAATGGGGGGGGGGACACAGTCCAATCATCTGACATCGGTGGGGGGGGGGTCGTCTGTAGCCCATCTGCAGCCCTTTCCAGAGAGGCCAGAACAGCTGAGACAGTGAAAAATGGGGGGGGGGAAAACAAATGTCAGCTACAACCCATTGGGGGGGGGGTTTGGTTTTGGAGCTAGAGTTTAACGTTTACCTTCGCAGATCTGTACCAGTCTCCCCCCAAAGGGGGGGGGGGTGGTTGATTCTGTTTATACAGATGGGGGGGGGGGGTTATTACATATTTTACAGAAATAAATGGGGGGGGGGAGTTTGTATTCTTGCCTGACATTTTCGGGGGGGGGGGATAGGATAAACAGTGTTGAAGGCCGGGGGGGGGGGCGCTAGGCCGGAACGGGGGACCGGTGGGGGGGGGGGGGCTGCTTCAGAGACCCCCCAGGGCAGGGGGGGGGGCACAGAGGTGAGGGAGCCGTACGACCGGGGGGGGGGCTGTCCACTAAACTCCCAGCAAGAGACACCAAACACGCTGTTTTCACTTTGCAAAACCCACAGGGGGGGGGGGCAGAAGCCAGTGAAGCCCAAAGTAAGGGGGGGGGGCAGGGACCCCAATCTTCGCACCCACTGGGGGGGGGGGAAAGTCCTTTGGAAGATGTTTGAAAGGGGGGGGGGTGAGACAATAGAAACCGGACAGGGGGGGGGGGGGGGTGCCTGAACTTTGCCCCGGGCCCACCGGGGGGGGGGAGCTCTTCACGGCCCCTGCCCTTCCTGGGGGGGGGGAAGGGGAACTGTTACTGGTGCTTCTGGGGGGGGGGGTTCCCAGCGCCGCCATGCTTCTCATGGGGGGGGGGGACTGGTAAAGCCAGTCAGTCACCATCTCTCTTGGGGAGCACTCTTTTTCGAAGAGCCAGTGTGGGGGGGGGGAGCTTCTGGCCGGGGCTGCCCGGAGGGGGGGGGGGGTCTCAGGGAGCTTCCCGGAGTTTCTCGGGGGGGGGGCGGATTTCCTGATCCTGTGTTCTGACGGGGGGGGGGCAAGCAGGTGGCGTGTCCTCCGCATTGGGGGGGGGGGCCTCCCCAGTGGGTCGTTCCACACTGGGGGGGGGGACAAGGCCAGCACATGGGCCCTGGGCGGGGGGGGGGCTCCCAGAGGCCACCAGGGCTGCACCGGGGGGGGGGCCAAGTGCCGGGCCCGCCAGGTCTGACATGGGTCCCCTACACCAGATCATGTGTCTGCAGGTGGGGGGGGGGACCCTCCCACAAGCACGGGCAACATGGGGGGGGGGGGTGGGGTCGGAAGGGGATGTGGTGGCGGGGGGGGGGCTCAGAGCTGCTCCTCAGAGTCACCCGGGGGGGGGGCTCTCCAGCTTCCACCTCGTTGTGGAGGGGGGGGGGAACATTCCCAGGCAGCCGCTACCCTCGGGGGGGGGGGTGTCTATGAGGAAAAGCCCTTTGGACCATCGCGTTTCATGTCTGCCTGTGCGGAGACAAGAGGGGGGGGGGGGGTTCTGGCTTCCGTGGCAGCCTGGCGTGGCCCTGAGGGACAAGGGCCTGCTTCTCCACTGGGGGGGGGGGAGCACGAGCCACACCCAAGCCGGTGCGGGGGGGGGGCTGGGCCTGGCCACTCCGGGACAGACGGGGGGGGGGTCTGCGACCCAGACAGGACTGTCCCCGGGGGGGGGGGGCCTATGAAATCTGGCCAGCGCCAGGGGGGGGGGGGACATTAGTTGATACCGTACACAAGAGGGGGGGGGGGACAGCGTCTGTCTGTCCATGGCAAGGGGGGGGGGGGCTCCTGATAAATGCACAGAGTCCAGGGACATGTAACTCAACCCTAACTTCAAAGGGAAACAGGGGGGGGGGACCAAGTTCTTTGGGGAAAGCATGCTGGGGGGGGGGTTCTCCACGGATGTCCTAAGCTACAAGGGGGGGGGGAAAAGCTCCTGGGCCTTTATGGCAAAGCCACAAGAACATCACATGGCCAAGAAGGCCATCACGGGGGGGGGGGGCCAAACGCATCGGTAGCAGGTGCTGGGGGGGGGGAATGCATTTTCTACCGAAAACCTCTTGGGGGGGGGGCAATATCTGACATCCGAGATTATCAAGGGGGGGGGGGTAGAGGCAGTAACTTTACGTGTCAGGGGGGGGGGGAACGGCAGGTTAAAATCCATACACCAGGGGGGGGGGGCCCCTCAGATGCACTGGGCCCTGGCGGGGGGGGGGCTGCCCCCCTCCTCCGGTGCCTGGGCGGGGGGGGGGCCAATGCACCCCTGAAACCCGGCCTCGGGGGGGGGGTTAAAAGCACAAAACTTGTTGGCCAATGACTAGTGGCTGTGAGAAATGGATTCATCCAGAAGGGGGGGGGGGATGCCCTAAATCCTGTCATTTAAATGGGGGGGGGGGTTGTGCCCTTGGACATTTTCAGCTTGCGCTCACCCACAGAGAATGAGCCCAGCCCCGGCCACGGGGGGGGGGCCATGCAGACAACCAGACACCCCAAAGGGGGGGGGGAGAACAGCGTCCCCAGGGTAAACCCTGGGGGGGGGGCTCCACTCATGTCCCCGTCGAGCAGAGGGGGGGGGGTCCTCCCACCACCCTGGCTTTCAGTGGGGGGGGGGGCAAAATCAAGCCTTCGGAACAAGTATGGGGGGGGGGAAGTGTTTTAATTACAAATGTGATGTGGGGGGGGGGACACAGTGACGACACCCTCTCACGGAAAACCCGCCACTCCCTACATACGACTGCATGTGCCTGGGGGGGGGGGTGTGTGCATGCGCTCAGAGGATGGCGGGGGGGGGGGAGCCCTGCTGCTCCCTGTGTGTTGAGGGGGGGGGGGAAAGACCACAGTCACTTGAACAGATGGGGGGGGGGATGGACATACACCTATTTTTTGTTAAGGGGGGGGGGTTACAGGGCTGTGAGCAGAGGCTGCTGGGGGGGGGGCCCTGGGCATACCCGCTGTGACTCGCGGGGGGGGGGATGTGCATGCTGGGAAGACGGGGACAGGGGGGGGGGGTGGGCGCAGGCAAAACGCTGGGAGCGGGGGGGGGGACTCTGTGACGTGGCGTGGCCCACACGGGGGGGGGGGCCCTGGTGACGAGGGGTGTGGACGAGGGGGGGGGGGGGGCTCCCTTCACGGCTGGGAGTGGGGGGGGGGGGTCAGTCAGCACCCCTCCAGGTTTCCGGGGGGGGGGGGGTGTCATGGGAATGCTTCAGTTTGGGGGGGGGGGGATTGGTGATTAATGCATATCTTGCTCGGGGGGGGGGTACTATTCAAGTAGTTTTAACTTAAAGGGGGGGGGGGTAATCTTTACATTATTGAAGATTGGGGGGGGGGGGAGAATCTGACAACTTTTCATTTCAATGGGGGGGGGGCTTTGAAAATCTTCACTCCTGTATTACCATAATTCCTGGCCTGTATAAAGCTCTTCAAAGGAGGGGGGGGGGGATCCATCTTCCCCTGTTATCAGTTCGGGGGGGGGGCAGTCTCAGAAACCCTTCGCCCCTGCGTTACAAGGAGGACTATGGAGGGATTTATGACTAAAGGAGCCCCTCCTGGTCGCGGACTTTAGTTATAAACTTTACAAGGAAGAGGGTGCTGTCAGCTACACATGCCCGGGGGGGGGGCGTCACATGAAGGAACTGCCAAGGATGGGGGGGGGGCACCCTTACTGAGAACATGATGATCCGGGGGGGGGGTTTATGAAGAGGCTGCAACAGTAGTAAAATGTTTGGCAATCAAAAGTTAATTAGAATAAAATCCTCGACCGGGGATGGTGCTGTCGCCACGAACATGGTTGTTGGAAAAGTCGGTTTCTGCCACGACCAGAGCTCTGAGCAGCCGCTTGACGGAGTCCAGTCTCTGGTCCGGGGGGGGGGGGCCACTCCAGCCCCTCAGTAGATATGGGGGGGGGGTGAGAAATTCCGCTCAAAGTAACCCCGGGGGGGGGGCCAGTCGGGAGTCCCCGTGTACGGGTGGGGGGGGGGGTGAAACCACCTGCAACACAGACGAGGGGGGGGGGGGGCGAGAGCACGGTCAGGGCCGCGCTGGGGGGGGGGGGGTGTCCCCACGGCAACACACAGCCGGGGGGGGGGCCCAGGGCAGCGACTGCAGTTGAGAAGGCTTAACCACATTTTCACTCGGACGCTCCCCTCCAGGGGGGGGGGGTGTCCACTTCACCAGCAAAACCTCAGGGGGGGGGGAGAAAACACACTGGGCCATCATCAGAGGGGGGGGGGCCGCTCAACAGCGCCCGCACCTTTCAAGGTGGGAACGCCCACGGTGCCGCCTTCCCTCAAAGGGGGGGGGGGCCTGGGGAGAGGGGAGAGCCTGTGGGGGGGGGGGGGATGGTGGCTGCCACCGGGCTGTGTTTCCGGCCGTGTGCCCTAGGAAGCCCCCACTGGCTCCTGGGGGGGGGGTGTGCCCCTGTGCAAACCCCCATCCCGGGGGGGGGGGCCCCTGCTCCTGCAGTCCCCCGCACGGGGGGGGGGCACCC